ATATTTCAGTTTCTACCCCCTGAGGTTACAATAAGAGAAAGGACAGGGATGAAGAAGCCTTTTCCAAAGGGATTCATTCCCATCATGTTATTTTTTTAACCAGCCCTGTGATTTCTGGGTGTATTTAAGCAGCCTGGGATAGAAATCCTGGCAGATCTGAAATCCTTTAGGAACTCAGGTTACTCCTGCCCAGCCCGGGTGTAATCCCCCCATTTATTTAACAGAGCCAGAGACAGGGAAAGCATTCCTGAGCCGGGAAGAGCACCTTCCACCCTGCAAGTCGCAGCTTTTATCCCCAAAATCCCAGCCAACATTAACAAGCTGCTCCAATCGCTCGAGCCTGACGCGATCTGAGCAACAGCACAAGGAACAACCCGACTTCATTTCGCCTGGAGGCTGAGCCAGGCTCGAATTCAGGCTCCCAAACCTGCTTGGGTCAGCAAGAAGCACTTGATGGGATCGGGAAGAAAACCCGGCCGCGTGGAAATAAGGGAATAACAGCGTGAAAAGGGGGGGCAGGAGGGTTGAGCTGTGCTCCTCTCCCCATCCCCGACCCCCCAAAACAGGACAGGCACAGCCCCTGTCCCTCCCCACCCGCAGCTGGGAGCCCTTTAAATGGTTTCAAATGTTTAATTCCTCATCGTGGCAGTAAAAGCTATTTTTAATCCCACGTGAAAGCAGTTTGCAGAAACCCAAACTTTGCACGAATTATGGATTGCTTCCCAAGCCCGGGCACTGCTGGGTGTGTGCTGGGGAGCAGAAAACAGGGGCACATCATCAGGGAAACCCATCCCGCTTCCCAGCGCTTAAGCCTGGTCCTAAGAGCAGGGCTGGCTCTAAAACAGCGCATAAAAACCGATCCAAAACACCGCGCCTTCAGTAAAAGCTTTACTGTGTACTATTGTTAGTTAAAATCAGCTTTTTCTCAGGTTTCCCGCATGTTTTCTTTGCACTCGGGGTTTCATTTCCCAAACACGGGGGTGAGGATCCGGGAAGCTGAGACAGAAAGGTCTCGCTTGTGAATGGAAGTGGAAAAAAAAGATAAAAAATTGCGAAGTAACAGAGGCGAGAAGCTGCGGGGCCGAGTGTCTGCGAGGGGAGAACAAGGGCAGCGCTGAAATCGAGTCCACCAGGAGGGGAGATTAGCGGTGCCAATGAATAAAGATAACGTCCCGGAGCAGCTCCGAGCATCGCCATCCCGGCTCCCTTTGTCTCTCCGCACCTTTGCGTTTCCCCGAGGAAAAGCTCGCCCTGGAAGGGGCCGCGAGAGCGGTGCCAAAACGCAGCCTGGTGACTCCGGAGGAGCCGATTTCATTCAGCAGCTCCGGCTATAGAGTGTCTTGATCTGTCTGTGCAATCACAACACGCACAAAAACCCCCTCGAGGCACCTACTTAGCTGCACTTTTCAGCTGCCAATAACACTCCCGGCAAAAGTCAAAAGAGCAGCGCCGCAGCCGCGTCCTTCCCCTGTCGCTCAAAGGCGTCGGGGTTGCGAGGTTCCGAGATAACAAAGTCTGGCTCAAGAAATCCTGGATGCCTTTCAAGAGCCTTATTAGCTCCTGTGAATGGGCTTGGGGAAGGGGAGGGGGCAAACCCCACACGCCAGGGAGAGGCTCTCTGCTCCCCCTCCACCTTCCCGGAGCTGCTCCCGAGCTGGGATACCCCAGCAGGAGCACAGAGGGATGAGGAACCCCCCGGAGAGTTCTTTCCCCCCTTCAATGCCAGCTTTCGTGTTGGATGGGACGGGGAAAAAAAGAGAATGAAAAGTTAAATTTGGCCTGCGGGAGTCTCCGGGCTGGCTCTGCAGCGCCTGAGGATGCTCGGTGGGGATTGCAGCCCCTCGCGTCCCTCACAATCACCAGACATCCCGTGGTACTTTTTAATACTTCTGGTGCAAACTGGATGAAAACAGGGGATTCTTTTCTTTACAGTTCCTACAGATCCGCAGCGTGCAGCTGCCGGGGCTGAATCCCAGGGATGTGTGGGGTGCAGGGAGCCCTGGCCCTGCACCATTCCTGCCTGAGCTTCCTTTGGCTCTTGGGAAAAGCAGGACAGGATGGAGGAGAGGGACAGGGACCCCAGATCACGCAGGGAAACCCGGGACAAGAGGAAAAGCCCACTCACACTGAGCCCATGCTGCCACAAAGTTTGGGCAGATGGGGACGAGGAGACCACTTTGGATGAACTCAGAGCTCCCACAGGATTCCCTCAGAGCTGAGCTGCCCTGAGCTCCCTTCCTCACAACCCAGGCCCCCCTCCCAGCCCTGCCGTGCTCCCCCAGACCCCCGAGGCTCAGGGAGCAGCCGGGATCCCTGCGTGGGAACCGAAGCGGCTCTGGCATCCCAAAAGGGAACAATCCCATGCAAGGATTCTGCTACGCCCCCAAAAAGTCCCCAGTGGAGCAGAGCAGTGACACTGGAGAGCCCCAGCCCCGCCGTACAAGGCCCAGATGTCCCCTGTGAGCCCAAACCTGCCCCCCTCGCAGCCAGGGGGTTCCAGCCCCCAAACCCCTTCACCCCACAAATGTTTTCCTCCATCCCCACAGGCAAAGGCAGGGCCTGGCCCCACACCTTCACAGATGCTCCAAGTTTGGCAATGGATTTCTGAATATCGCCCCAAACTGCTGGGATTCAATTCTGTTTTTACCATTTGTCCTCAGCTACATTCCCAAACGGACACAGACAGTCCCAGGCTCCCAAAGGGGATCCCCCACACCCCAAACTGGCAGCAGGCACTCAGCGTTGCCTCTTCTTTTTATTGAGGTTTCCTTCAAGCAGCACTGAGTGCCAAAAAAATTAAAATTGTGTTTTGCTTGAGGAGAAAACATCCCATCGTGCTTGGATCAGCCATGAAATCATTTATGCTGCAGCCTCAAAAAGGTGTTTAATCTTCTTAGAATTAGCTAAAGCTGTAGTAACTCAAGGAATTCTGTAGGAGATGCTTTTGCAGAACATTTTCTTTTCACTACTACTCAAAAAAAAAAAGGGGGGGAGCTTTGGGCCATTTCAAATTGAAATTATATAAAACAATCCAGTGAGAATAAATTATTTCAGTCAGTAACTTACAACAAACTACTCCTCACCCACAAGGAGATGCTCCTGCCAGAGCAGGGAAATCACTACGGGACGGAGCTACTGAGAAAGAACAAAATAATCTGGAGTGATATTTCCAGGGGAATTCTTTTTCCACACTTACTCAAAACAAGAAACAACCTACAGGTGCCTTCGGGCCAAATATCTTGGCGTGAGAAGCAGTTGGTGTAATTTCGGTTTCCTAGCAAGTTCAAATATTTTAAAAATGTTTACACCACTTTTGAGATATCCATAGGAAAAACCCGATTTTCTGTCCAACTTCTCTTCCCCTCCACTCCAGCACACCCCAGCTTTAAACACTTAGCTCTGTCTGGCTTTGCCGGGGATAAAATCCCTCGGTACTGTGAGGTCTTGTGAGAAGACAAAACAAGAGGCAGAGAGGAGAGGAAGCGAAGGGAAATAGTTGTGTGTGTGTGATTAAAACCACACTTGATGCCGAGTTAAAGTAAAACATCTCCTGATTTTCGCCTCACCCCGAAGGATGCGGATTCTCCCCAGCCCAGAAAACCTTCCCCGCTCCATTTCCCCAAATTTACCGCAACCACATGCGGGATCGTCTCGAACCTGGTGCCAGGCCAGGCTCCCTGCAAAGCACTTCCAGCCCTAAAAAACTCGCAGCAGAGCCATCCAAACTAAGATTTATTTCAGCTCCTCCTCTGCGGTCCGTCCTGCGAGCCTCGCTGGGCTCTGCCGAGCGATATGAAAGCGTTCGATCTTCCCCGCTTTAATTAAGCGCTCGCAGTCATTAAAGCCCCATTCTGCCGAGCGAGAGGCAGCTCGCAGCCCTCACCCCAAAAAGATTAGTGATCATCATTATCGTTCCTGGAGCCGAGGAATGAGCTCATAAATCACGGCGATATTAATGCAGCCGTAAAAAATAAGCGCCGCTACTTACTGGGTTTTGAAGGTGCGCTAAGTCGTAACTTTACAGCCCAGATGTGGGCTCGGAGAGCTGAGACTCTGCGGGTAAAATTACCACTAAAATTACTCTTTCCATTAAACACGCTGATTTTTCACAGGTTGTTACTTCGGCGAGGGTTGGGAAGCTGCAGCCTCCCCCCAAAACGCGGAGAGAAACGCGGGGCCCGGGGAGAAGGGGATGGAGGGGCAGGAAGGACAGCGAGAGCTACTCCTTTTATTATTTTCAGATGTTTCCCCGAGAACACCACGGCGCTTTCATACATCCACACGTTTGGATTGCCTTCAGAATAAGGGAGCAGATTCCACCCCCGGCTTCGAGGGACTTATCGCCGCCGACTCCGCTTGGCCCAGCCGCTCTGGAGCTGGCCAGGAGACGCGGGTTTAACACGCTCCACATGCACGGTAGCTGCTCTTCCGAACGCTTTATCGCCTGAAGAGCTCAAGCCCATCGAAACCCTCGAAAAACAAACCCCCCCCGATCACTCCAGCTCTGCCCTTTGCCACAAGCCCACCGAGGGTCCCACGGATTCGCCCCTCGCCCGCTCAGGATCAAGCCCGAGGTCCGCGCTCATTTCTGTTCATTAGAAACCACAAGAATAAAACAATTCCTAAAGGAACCCGGCGGGGAAACGGGGGCACGGCTGGGGATAAAGCGCTAAAGGTTAAAATCGCAAAGGCTGGGGAGTGAAACGAGCGCGTTTTTGCTGCCGGCTTCGTCCCTGGCCGGGCGGGATGCGGGGACAGGAGCGACACGGGGACAAGGGCACCGCTTTTCACACTGCAGCAGCCCCCCAAAATCAGCCGCCAGCCCCCTTCCCCAGCCCGGGCGAGGCTCGCAGCCGGGGACCCGCACCCCCCTTCCCTCGGAGCCCCTTCCTCTCCCGGGACCCGCCTGTTGCGGAGCCGCCGCATCCCATCCCGGCCACCAATTAACGCAGCTCTGCGCTAATTACCGACCCCCTCATCCACCCCCGCAGCCGCCTTACCTGTACCAGCGCAGCCCCTTCTCGTAGCACCTGTCGAAGAAGTGGGGCTCGGCGCCCACCGCCCGCACCCCGGGGTGCGCCCGCAGGAACTCGAGCAGCGCCCGCGTCCCGCCCTTCTTCACGCCCACGATGATGGCCTGGGGGAAGCGGCGGCTGCCGCCCCCCGAGCCCCCCGCGCCCCCCGCCGCCTCCCCCGGGCCCGCGGGCAGCGCGGCGGGCGGCGGCAGCAGCAGCGCGGGCGGCAGCGGCTCGCAGGGCCCGGGCAGGCAGGAGAAGAAGTAGGTGAAGAAGAGGATCATGGTGAGGAGCAGCGAGGCGCGGCGGCCCCCGGCGGGTCCCAGCAGCCGCCCGCTACATCCCATCGGGGGCCGCGCATCCCGCACCGCCACCCCCGCGCCCCCCGAGCCACCCCCGGCCCCGCCGCGCCGCCCCCACGCGGGGCGGGGGAGGGCGAGGACACGCGCGTGGGGCGGTGACGCCCCGAGGAGGGGAAGGGGAGGGAGGGGAAGGGAGGGGATTGGGAGCGGGGAGGGGGCGCGGCACACGCGGGGTCCCCGCGGGGACAGACCCCCCCCCAATCCACGCGTGGCTGTGGAGCCCCTGCTCCCGGCCCTGCCGCACCGGGGACACGTTTGCCCACATTTCCCTGCGTTCTCCCTGTATTTTCCCTTTTTTCTCCCCCATGTTTCTGCTTGGTTTTCCCTGTTACCCCACATTTCCCTGTGTCCTCATGTGTTTTCCCTGTATTTCCCTTCTTCCCCCATGTTTCTGTTTAGTTTTTCACGCATTTCCCTGTGTTCTCACATGTTTTCCCTGTATTTCCCTTCCCCCCCCCCCTGCTTCCACTTGGTTTTCCCTGTTACCCCACATTTCCCTGCGTTCTCCCGGTATTTTCCCTTTTTCCCCCCATGTTTCTGCTTGGTTTTCCCTGTTACTCCACATTTCCCTGTATTCTCACATGTTTTCCCTGTGTTTTCCTTTTTTCCCTCATGTTTCTGCTTTTCCATAGTACCCCACATTTCCCTGTGTTACTCCATGTTTTCACTTTTTCCCCCGTTTCCCCCTATTTTCTCACACTTCCACACATCTGCTTGGTTTTCCCTGTTACCCCACATTTCCCTGTGTTCTCCCTGTATTTCCCTTTTTCCCCCATGTTTCTGCTTGGTTTTCCCTGTTACCCCACATTTCCCTGTGTCCTCATGTGTTCTCCCTGTATTTCCCTTCTTCCCCCATGTTTCTGTTTGGTTTTTCATGTTACCCCACATTTCCCTGTGTTGCTCCGTGTTTTCACTTTTCCCCACGTTTCCCCCCATGTTTCCCCCTATTTTCTACATTTCCCTGTGTTCTCACATTTTCCCTGTATTTCCCTTTTTCCCCCATGTTTCTGCTTGGTTTTCCACAGTACCCCCCATTTCCCTGTATTTTCCTTTTCCCCCCATGTTTCTCTTTGGTTTTCCCTGTTACCCCCCATTTCCCTGTGTTCTCACATGTGTTCCCTGTATTTTCCTTTTTTCCCTCATGTTTGTGCTTGGTTTTCCACAGTACCCCCCATTTCCCTGTATTTTCCTTTTCCCCCCATGTTTCTCTTTGGTTTTCCCTGTTACCCCCCATTTCCCTGTGTTCTCACATGTGTTCCCTGTATTTTCCTTTTTTCCCTCATGTTTCTGCTTGGTTTTCCACAGTACCCCACATTTCCCTGTATTTTCCTTTTCCCCCCATGTTTCTCTTTGGTTTTCCCTGTTACCCCACATTTCCCTGTGTTCTCACATGTTTTCCCTGTATTTTCCTTTTTCCCCCATGTTTCTCTTTGGTTTTCCCTGTTACCCCACATTTCCCAGTGTTACTCCGTGTTTTCACTTTTTCCCACATTTCCCCCTATTTTCCAACATTTCCACACATTTCCCTGTGTTCTCACATTTTCCCTGTATTTCCCTTTTTTTTCCCCCATGCTTCCACTTGGTTTTCCATAGTACCCCACATTTCCCTGTGTTACTCCATGTTTTCACTTTTTCCCCCGTTTCCCCCTATTTTCTCACACTTCCACACATTTCCCCATGTTTTTTCCATATTTTCACCACGCTTCCCCATGTTTTCGCACGCTTCCCACATTTCCCTGTGCTTTCTCACATTTTCCCATGATTTCCCTCATTTCTCCACACCTCACCACATTTTCCCATCCATTTTTCTTCTTGCCTGTGTTCCCTCCTCTTCTCCCTTTCCTGGGGCTCCAGGGGCTGTTTTTGGGAAGGGTCTGACTCCAGCAGCAGAGCAGGATCCCAGGCAGGCACCAGGCTGGTGTGTTAATTAGCCTGTTAATGTAATTAACTCTTTTCCCAGAGCTGGGGAGTGTTGGGGACGGGGATCCACGGCCTGGGATGGGAAGGGTGGAGCAGAGCTGGGCTGGGGTCAGTGGCGGTCCTGTAGGGCCACAGGGGCACCAGTGGGGACTTGTAGGATGGCAGCACTGCAGGGGGACACGGGGACAGGGCTGGAGGACACTGGGACAGGGCTGGGGGTGACAAACCTGCAGGGTGACATGGGGACATGGCTGAGGGGTGACAAACCTGCAGGGGGACACGGGGACAGGGCTGGGGGTGACAAACCTGTGGGGTGACATGGGGACAGGGCTGGGGGGTGACAAAGCTGTGGGGTGACGCAGAGACATGGCTGGGGGTGACAGACCTGCAGGGGGATACGGGGACAGGGCTGGGGGTGACACAGGGACATGGCTGAGGGGTGACAAAGCTGTGGGGTGACGCAGAGACATGGCTGGGGGTGACAGACCTGCAGGGGGACACTGGGACATGGATGAGGGGTGACATAGGGACATGGCTGGAGGGTGACAAAGCTGCAGGGAGACACTGGGACAGGGCTTGGGGTGACAAACTTGGAGGGTGACACTGGGACATGGCTGGAGGGTGACATGGGGACAGGATGGCAAGGTCACAGGGCCGCAGGGTGACACGGTGAGAGGATGGCAGGGACAAACCTGCAGGGTGACATGGGGACAGTGCTGGGGGTGACAGACCTGCAGGGTGACATGGGGACATGGCTGAGGGGTGACAAACTTGGAGGGTGACACTGGGACATGGCTGGAGGGTGACATGGGGACAGGATGACAAGGTCACAGGGCCGCAGGGTGACAAAGCTGCAGGGTCACAGGGCTTACGGGGACAGGGCTGGGGGTGACACAGGGACATGGCTGAGGGGTGACAAATCTGCAAGGTGACACTGAGACATGGCTGTGGGGTGACAAAGCTGTGGGGTGACACAGAGACATGGCTGGGGGTGACAGACCTGCAGGGTGACATGGGGACATGGCTGAGGGGTGACAAACTTGGAGGGTGACACTGGGACATGGCTGGAGGGTGACATGGGGACAGGATGACAAGGTCACAGGGCCGCAGGGTGACAAAGCTGCAGGGTCACAGGGCTGCAGGGTGACACGGTGAGAGGATGGCAGGGTGACACGGCGACACGGGGACAGGCTGCCCGGCTGCAGGGCAGGGCTTTTTGCCCTCTCGTGGCTGCTCGGGCCGCGTGTCCCGCAGCGCTCCGGGGCTCCCAGCCCAGCCCCGAGCTCCAGGGCCACAGCGATGGCACCGGGGAGTGCAGCTGCCCCTGGTGCCTTGCTCTGGTTCTCCTGTTTCCCAGATTCTGGACTGCCCTGGTACAGAACTCTGGACTTCACATAAAGTGTCAGCAGCTCTCCTCACAGCTCAGTCACACAGAACAATCCTTTGCCAGCCCCAGAACCAAGGACACCGCTGCAGCTTCAGCCCCAGAAAGTGCAAACAACAGGGAATTAAAGTGAGAAAAACAAAAAATATGGAACTTTATAAACTAAAGCTGTAATTGAGCAATGAACCCCAATATGGAAATGCACCAAAAATTATAAAAGTGCGAGACCTTCTGAAAGTCTGCATAAACTTATAAAAGTGTGCATTTTGTGATCATTTTGGTTTATTTTGTGTGCAGCCCTGGCTCTTGCACTGCCCAAGGTGGATCCATTGAACCTTTTAATAAATCCCTGCTTTATGCTTTAACCCTGCCCAGCTCTGTTCCAGCTCAGCCCTCCCAAGGCATCGTTATCAGAGCAGCTCCATCAGCACAAACGCATTCAAACCCTGCCACTGGCCAGCCCTGGCTGCCTTTCCCTCAGCCATTGGAAACAGGAGCTGCTCCAGCTCCCTGTTTGCCTTGGGAGGGGGAATGTTGCTCTTGGAAAATGCCAATTTGTCAAAGCGGGAACGTTTGGCAAGAGCAGATCCATCCTGACAAACTCCTGTCCCAACGCAGCCGGGGAGACTCCGGGAGGGTGGCAGGGGGGAGCAGGGCACTCACCCTCCTCTCCCTCGCCGTGGGGGCTGCCAGGGCTGGTGCCACGGGGCCTCTTGGCAGCGCCAGCTCCCCGCAGTGCAGTCACAGCCTTCCTTTCTCACCTCCAGAATTCGGGGAAAAGGCTGAAAACACGAGTCTGCGGTCAGGGCCAGGCGCCGAGGGCTTGGGACGTGCCCAAGGTCACCCCAGCCCCGTGTTGGAGGAGCTGGGGGGGCCCTGCACGAGGGGGGCTGCATAATGAATCCAGGGGGGTCCCTGGACGCAGCCCAGACCCCAGCAGACAGGCAGCTCAGGCAGCGGAGGGCGAGCAGCTCACGTGCAGGGTTTTTAGCAAAATCGGGACATTTTGGTTGGAATAAATGAGTTCTGCAACGTTCTCCTCAGTGTGTTTGGTGTGCCGGGCTGGCAGGGGCTGTGCCAGGGCCTCAGCACCCTCCGTGGTCCCCACTGAAGCACAGCCAGGGCTGTTTTCCCTCGCTGGGTCCTGGCAGGGGTGAGCAGCCCCAGGGAGGCTCCCTGGCTCCTGTGGCCATGGGAAGGGAGATGCTCCATGGAGGAGAGAGGCCAAACCCTGCTCAGAGCGGTGGGATCAGCTCATCCCACAAACCCAGGAGCAGGGGATGTCCTGCCTGGTCCAGGACAAGTGACAAGTGCCACCAGGGCCAGACCCAGCAGCATCAGCACAGCGGCAGGGGAGCTGCGTGCTGCACCCTCTGCCCACCCCAAAGCAGCAGCGTGGGACCCCTGCCACCCCACGGGTCCCCCAGCAGCGTCACCTCCTCCTCCAGCCCCCCCTGCCCACCACCACAGGCTCCCGCTCGGGATTTCTGGGATTTCCCCGGGTTTGTTACTCCAGAGAAAGCAAGGAAAGGGCTCGGGGGAGCAGGGGGGATCATCGAGCGGGTCGGCTCCCCGGCGCGGTTTGCCAGGCTGGTAAAGGCGAGCGCGGCTCTGAAAGGCGAGCACAGCTTGATTGGAAGCAAACAGCCAATTAGCGCCGCCGGGCCGAGCCAATTAGCGC